TTGCAGGTGTTCATAGGCTACGATAACCAGTTACCATCAGGTGGGCCGTATACTTGTTTGCCACCTCAGTGGTATAAAAAATGAGCTGTTTATACATGAAGAAGGAAGGTTCTTGAGTAGCAACCCAGTGTAGTACAGATCACGCAGTGTAGGACTCCCCAAAAGGCTTATATTCAGCAGTGGACAGTTAAAAGCTGATATGATGAATTAACTTCTTACCATTAACTACACAAACCTTAATGTGGAAACAGTAAATTAAAAACACATGTTATTAGATACTATTATCACGTGAACGGTGATTGTAACACGCGCGTGATACGAATATCACTTGACATGGAACTAATACTGTAAAAGCAATTAATTGAAATATTTTGTTTAAACAGTATGTCTGTCAATATTTCAATGTATTCTCTAATGCTTGTTTTCGCGTTGGAAACTAAATAATTCTTTCCACTTCTAGCAACTGCGTTAGATTAGAACTACAACTAGAAATTGTTGTGATGGAATAATTTTTCCTCCAATACGTAACTAAGTTACCAAAAGAGAAATAAGCTAAACTATTTACTTAACTATAATATTATATATATATAATCAGTCAGGCTGGTGCTCGCGTCACATTCACTCACGACTAAGGATCACGAATTGATTCCGAATCTAGTCGAGTTTTTTCGATCTAATTACACGTAAGTTAAACCGGTAGTTATGAAATTAAAATAATATAACCTCCTACTATTAAGTACATAAACTTTAATTAAGAAAGAGCAAATTAGAAACACATGTTATCGGATAGTGTTGTCGCATAGATTCTGATTGTACCGCATAGATGATACGAATATCATGTGACATGGAACTTATATTGATACTATTTATTTAATACCATTATTATTTATGTACACAGAATGTCTGTCAGGAATTTGAGAAATAGAATAGAATAAATGTTCATTGAGAGGTGTACATTATAATAAGTCAAAAAATTTTCATTGCGTCTTAAATGAAATTTACATAGCCTACCCATACATCAAGCATACAATATAATTATATGACATAGATACATTCTAAAGTCCCTTTTTTGTTAGTAGTTAAAAAAAATCCTTTCCTTTTCTAGCAACTACATTTTGTAACCGGTTACGAAATAATTACAAAGGAAGAATTATTTCCACATGTATATAAGTAAGTTTTTTTTACCCAACTCAGAATGGTAAACAAGCCAACGACATGAGCAGTACCATGGAGATAACATAGTACACTGTTTCGCCCATGATATCCCCCATGCGTTGCGATTCCTGAGGACTCAGGTGTTAATCCTCTGTACCCTGTAAATTCACGCCATATCCCACCCTTCAAACTGAAACACAGCCATGCAAACACAACTGCTTCACGCTAAAAACACGAATGGGACAGAAGTATTCAAGCATACGACTTTTGTACAAAATCTCCATCTGTTAAATAACCAAAAAGGAATACAGTAAACTATTTATCTAATAATATAACCTCCCGCCGTTAAACACATAAACCTTAATGTAGAAAGAGCAAATTACAAACACATGTTATCGGATAGCAGTGTCGCGTGAATGCTGATTGTAGCGCGAACGTGATACGAATATCACGTGACATGGAACTGATACCGTAAACGGTATTTATTGGGTAATGCCGCCGTGATTTCGGTACGCGGGACGTAGGTACGTCAAGAATTTTATAACGTCCACAAATCGTGTTTTGCTACAGTTTTATTATTTTGATGCAGTGTAGGGTTGCCACGCGGCCTAGTTTCCATGGATTTGTTCTCATACAGAAATCAGTATCTGCATCTACACTAATATTATAAAGAGTAAAGATTTGTATCTTTGTATGTATGTAAAAAATTCTTTCACCATTATAAAACTACATTCACCCTAAATAACATAGGCTATATTTATTGCTGTAAAAGATTAGGGATCCTCACTAAAACTTTAATAACACAACTCGAGGTGTAAAAAATGTTATAAAATATGTTTGGTCGCGTGCGCTGCGTAAACTATTGGTGATAGAACAAAAGTATGTTCTACAATATTGAAGATAATATCAATAACTACAAAAAACTTTGCGATACTATATGTCACAGTAACCACTTTTTAAAATGTCGTAAAAATGTCCACCCATGCGAAGCCGGGACGGGCCACTAGTAATATATATATTTATTATTATATTTAATATAAATAAATAAGGAGAAAAGGGATTATCAGTAATGCTTAGTAATAAGGGGGGAAAGGGATTGTTAGTAATGCGGACTATCAGACCCATTGCTATTAGGTCGACCTCCACGTGGTCCCCCCTGGAAACTGTCGTGCTGAATTCCAGCTGTATTCAACACGATGGACTAAAGGCTAAAGAACATAGGTTACTTTTTAATCAAGATTGGTGGACATATCCAGTTTACGCGAACAAACTTGCGGTGAAAGCTAATTTAGAGTAATATTAGAGGAAATATTTGATTGTTTGTTTATAATAGTTGCACTCAAAAACAACACAACCAAATTTAAAAATTATTTCACTTATAAAAAACAACGTTTTCAGCGAATAACGTAGGCTATAGATTATTTTCGAAAATTTTATTTACCCGTGCGAAGCTGGGTCAGAATACTAGTCTATTTATAAATACGAAAACTACATTTGAGAAACTCAAGGGCAGGCAACGGCCTTCATTTACCATATAATCTTCGTAAATTGAGTTTCGCCTGAGTTTAACACGATTATTTTCAAACCAGATAATTTATAATCTTAAGTGTTTATGGGTAACATTACTTATTATATTATTTATATTTTTTTATACAACTTAGAATGGCAAACAAGCTAACGGCCCACCTGATGGAAAGTGGTAACCGTCGCCTATAGACATGAGCAGTACCATGGACATAACAGAGTATACTGTTTCGCCCATGATACCCCCCATGCGTTGCCATTCCTGAGGACTCAGGTGTTATTCCTCTGTATCCAATAAATTCACGCCGTATCCCACCCTTCAAACCGAAACACAGTTATGCAAACACAACTGCTTCACGGTTGAAACACGAATGGGGCAGAGGTACCCAAGCAATCGACTTTTATACAGTCTCCCTCTGGTATATTCTTTGATGGTATAGCGGTTTAACATGGGGGATTGTTAGTAATGCGAACTACCAGCCCCCTTTGCTAGCAATATAGAGCATATTGCTAGCAATGGGGCTGGTAGGGTCGACCTCCACGTGGTATCCCCTGGGAATAATCGTGCCGAATCCCAAGTGTATACATCACGATGGGCTAACTGACCTGCCTCTTCATCTCACCTATCATCCAGTTGAAGGTTGATATAATGATAATGACGATGATGGTACGGGTAAATCATCAGCCATTAACTGTCCACTGCTGAATATAAGCCTCCCCAAAAAAATAAAAGGGGGGGGGGAATCCTCAGTTGTATACACAGATATATTAATAATATAGATTAGAAGGATGTCGCATAAAATATAGCGACAGAAATAAAGAAAATATATAAGCCTCCCTGTAAGGAAGATATTACCAGTAGTTGCCACGCTTAGCAGGCGAGTTGGCAACCGCAGTCAGGCTTTAGAGATGCTTTAAGAAGAATGCTGCTGCTCATACTTCGACCACTATGTTTTAAACTAAAATTTCATCCCAACCATCTGGACGAGTGGTGGTCTTCCACCGTGCGTTTTTCAAGGCACTTATTTCCACACACAACCACTCTTTGGAATCAACTTCCAGCTGCAGTATTTCCGAACAGATACGAAATCATGACCTTCAAGAAAAGAGCACATTCCTCTTTAAAAGGCCGGCAGCACACCTGCGATGCCGTTGGTGTTGTGGGTGACCATGGGCGGCGGTAGTCACTTACAAAAAAAAAACAAAAAAGTTCCCTTAGTCACCTCTTACGACACCTACGGGAAAGGAAGGGGTGGCCCATTCTTTGCCAGGAACAAATAAAACACTGTAATAGTTAAAATAGATTTGTAAAGGGTTTCAGTTTTTTTTTATGAATAAAAGGAAAAATAATTCATAGAGAAATCTGTGAGCTTACGTCATGATTCATGGTGCTCTTCGTAGCTATGGGCGACGATTTACACCTTTCATCAGGGGGGCGTTAGCTTGTTTACCATGCCAAATTGCATAAAAAATATGCCTACACTCGAATAACACGACCCTCTTTTCTGTGTCAGTAGGTCAAACAAACTCTATGAAATTCTATCTACAAACTAGAACCCACTCTAATTAATCAAACGCAAATATTCATATACATGGTATCCAATTATCCCCCTCAAGTAGGGTAGTTACGATCCATTATTTTAATTACTACCCTCCACTGCTATACCCCTTTCATATAAGCCAAATGTACATTTTGGGCATCCAGTTTAACACTAGTTAAATTTTGACCTTACACTTCCGGGTTTAATACTGTTAATCATATTATGATGACAAAAATGACGATCAAAGAAGGATCCTCGGAGTTAAAATTTTCTTTCTTTCTTTCTTCTTTAAATAGTGTCCTTTGTGAAGGAGATAATATTTTCAAAATGCATCCTTCCTCCCAATTTTCGTGCTACTTAGAATGGCAAAAAGACTAATGGTCCACCTGATGGAAAGCGGTGACTGTCACCCATAGACTTGAACAGCACTCTTGGTGCTGTTCATATCTATCGGTCTATAGATAACAGAATACTCTGTGAGTATTTTGTGGCGTCCATGGTACCATGTAGTCATGGTATCCCTCATGCATTGCTATTCTAAGATTATGACTTTATAATTTTACTGCCATAACCCACCCTTCAAACCGAAATAGAATCATGAGTACAGCTGCTCTGCGACAGAAATACGAGTGAGACAAAGGTACCCACGCAAACTACTTTTTTACATTCTCCCACTGGAATAGTGTGGGTAAATATGAAATCCAAATTAAACGAAATACCAACAACTTCCAATCAAAAATAAAATTTCTAAATGTATACTAAATATCTTACCTTTCACAGATCCACCATCAGCCCCCATGATCACTGGGTACATTCCTGGGACAACACTAGCAGCTGGTACTGTGCAAAAATTGTCCTGCATATCGAGTGGGGGCAATCCTCTGGCGACGCTCACCTGGTTTAAGAATGATAAAAAGGTTAGACTACGAAATTGTATTATATTTCAGTCTTTAGGAGTGATAACCCTTGAGGAACACGTTAGGACTGCATACTATGGTGTCCATTCTATTTCTATATGCAGCATTCACTGATTCCCATCAGGTGGCCAAGGCGTGACAAGCTTGTTTACTACTCTTCAAAGTGAGTTTGATGCTTAGTTTACATCATCTCTACTTTGCACAGTTTATATTAAATGATTAAATATAATATAAATAATCCTAACTCATTTTCATTATATTATTGTATATTCTAATTTATTTATATAATAAATTATTGCCAACAGATCCACGCAGTTACAAAAACTACGGACAAATCTGTATCGAGCGAGATTTCAATATTCACGAACGTCACCGACAATCAAGCTCAGTATCGATGCGAAGCAACAAACAGCGCCACAGAGATACCATTGTTCGAGACTGTCACACTGAATGTACATTGTAAGTATAAATACTAAGCTCATTAGCATATTTCATCACCGACACTAAGCTCAGTATTGATGTCAGACAACAGAGTTACTAGAGTATCATTCTTAATGGCTTTTGAACTAAATATACATTAAAATTACAAGAACTAAGCTCATTAGCATAATTCACGGCTAAAATCAAAATTTAGCATTCAATTACTTCTTTTTGTGAAAAATTCATTATGAAATTGAAGGCTGGTAAATAACAAAGCAATAGGTATTAATACAAAATAACAAATATCGCTACTAAATCAACGTTATTCGATACTGTAAGTATAAGCACTAAGCTCAATAATTTATATTGTGTTTGTTATTTATATTAACTATAGAGCTGGCATATATGCATAAGACTAGAAAATCAGATATGAAAGTGCATAAGACAAGATATTTTGTGTTAACTTTTAATATAACAGATTGATATAAAAATGTAAAATAAAATTTATATGTTAATACATACAAATTTACCTTTATGTGTGCGTTTTAAGCTTAGTATTTTGGCAGTATATTAATAATAAATCAGTACAAACTTTCCTCTATATTATTTATAAAGATTGAGCTTAGTACCTTATAGTAACTTTACAAATAAATTAAGCTTAATGAAACAGAAAATCAATATGAATATAATGATTTCAAAAGCCTTTCCGTCCTTTAAAGGACAGACAGATAAAATAACGTAATCAATAGTTATTTTTGATAAATGATTTAACAGAGTTGAGCGTGATTTAGTTTAATTGATAACGAAAATAAAGGACTCCCAGTCAAACTAATCCGTACATAATTTAAAATGTTCTCTATGAACATAAATAGCTATGTAAAGTTCAGAACCATGCCTAATCTCTTTTAAAAGTTCCATAAATTTTGAGCTTACTAACTAGTTCCAAGCTGCGAGTGGCTATTAATAAAGTACAGGCACGTGTAATATTTTCACATTTATATTACGTACTTTGTCACATTAAGTATTTATTTTTATTGGTTTAGAATTTGTTTAAAAACTCTCGGGAGTCGTCGAAGATATCAAAGTGACAAAGTTCTATTACCATATATCAGTATCTATGACCATAGGATGTGCACGTGAGGTAGGTCCTCGTCTAAGACTACAGTTGCTTTTTTTTTATATACAACTTAAAATGGCAAACAAGCTGATGGCCCACCTGATGGAAAGTGGTAACCGTCGACTATAGACATGAGCAGTACCATGGATATAACAGAGTATACTGTTTCGCCCATGATACCCCCTATGCGTTGTTATTCCTGAGGAATCAAATGTTATTCCTCTGTACCCTGTAAATTCACGCCATATCCCACCCTTCAAACCGAAACACAGCCATGCCACAGCTGCTTCACCGTAGAAATACGAATGGGACAGAGGTACCCAAGCAATCGACTTTTGTACAAAGTCTCCCTCTGGTATAAAATTTGCTAGTAAAATCTAATAATACTACAGTATGGAGTTTTTCAAAAAGGGTGTATTAAGGTTTTTTCAGTGTAGGCAACGCGCACGTTACACCCCTAATGTTGTAGGCGTCCATAGGCTACAATAACCATTTACCACCAGACGGGCTGTATGCTTGTTTGCCAACTGCGTGGTATAAAAAAATATATGTTTTTACAACAGTTGCTCCTGAAGCGGTGAAGGTGCGAGCTGAACCAGAAGAATTGAAACCAGGAATCGAAGCGACTCTCTACTGCGACGCTGCGTCTAGCAACCCACCAGCAACCTTAACGTGGTGGCGAGATGGAATACCAGTCCAAGGTTTGTACTTCATCAATAATATTGTCTTTGACCTGGATATAATAACAAGAATATTAATAATAGATTGTAAATATACCTTCCGAAAAGTTGACTCCGATAGGATTCGAATCCACATCTCTCTTTTATCCATAGTTACTTTTTATTGGCGTAACTCGGATCACGTTTATAATAAGAATATACCTTATACATATACATCCACATACAGTAGACATATGTTTCTATTATAGAAAGAAAAAAATTGATTGTTTGTTTGTTTTTAATGGATGAACTCAAAAACTACTCGATCTATTTAAAATATTCTTTCACCTATAGAAAACTACATTATCGACAGGTAACATAGACTATATTTTAATTTCAAAAATTCTATCTATCCGTATGAAACCGGGCCAATTCGCTAGTCTCTAGATAATTTAAAAATTACTTTTTCAAATTACTTTTAAGAGAAATAGGCTCTCAATTTATTTGTATTTTATACGTTTACACAATTGTGTCTCAAATTCTGAACCGATTTTTTTCTTCCTGTATTAATTTGTTAAGTTACAATACAAGAAACTACTTGTAGTTATGTACAAGTAATTTCTTATACTGTAAATTATCGAAAAATATTAAATTCAGAATGTGAGATCTGTATTCTACATTCTAAATTCAAATGTTTATCACAATTCATAACATCTCGCCTTTCATCGATGTCTTTTGTCACAATTAAAATTTTGACTTTTATAAACCACAATGTTCTTAATATTCCATTCTATTCTGCAACCAGGTCTCCCAATGCAACTGAAGAAAGGTCTTCATGGAGGAACAGTATCCACAATAGAATTGAAGCTGAACATCACCAAAGACTTGAACGGTGCAGTGTATACATGCCAGGCAATGAACGAAGTGTTGCAAAGGAGTGTTCACGATGCATTGGCGTTGAAAGTTTTATGTAAGTATTTGCCAAGTTTCACTACTATTTGTGTTAAGGCAGCGCTATCTAGTGTCAACAGTTTCTATGTCGCTTTCATTGTACGTGAAGGCCTCTGGCATAGCTTACTAGATAACAGATTTTCATACCCTTCGCAGCAAGAAGTAAATCAAATCCATTCTTAAATTGTCTGGACATGATTTTAGAATGCTAAATGAAAGATGAACAAAACAGATATACAATGCAAATTTGATTACATATATGTATCGAAAAGACCTGGAATAACCTATTATGATTACACTGACAGTGTTCTTTCTGAACAAAGACTCAAGAATCTCTGGAATCGATATATGTCAAACGAGTTATGAAAATGCAGGAAGCAGGATATATATTAGATAGAGGTTATAAAGATAGAGGTCTTTGACACTCGATTCTCTCTGCTTACACTGTAAAAGACATAAAGATAAATAGATAAACATGAACATTAAAAAATTAAGAAATTTAGGTTGTGGTTCGATTTTGGAATCCTCAGATCACAGTCGTACAATATCGGACTAAGCTGTAGCCATTTTACTGTTAAACCTACTGTTGTTACCGTGCCTGATCTAATCTAATCTGCAATGTCCCTGATGTCACATTTATAAACGACAGTTTTCACATTCAGTGAAATGGGTACAGATACTTTGTATCTCCCAGTAGTATAAAAAAAATATCACGGCTTCGCACTGATTCATACGAATCCGAAGCCGTTATGTTTGGATTTTTTTTTAATCATTAATATTAAATATCATTATTGATTTTTGTTCTGTAGCTCAATTCAATATTCAATTTTCTACATTATTTTCGGTAAATTTTGCTTGTTATTTTCTTTATTTTCATATAACTTCTAGGTAATCGTTTTATATTTTTCATTCTATATTTCCTATATTTCCGTATCTATTTCATCTTGTATTGTATTTAGCACAAGCTAATTTAGTTCATCTGATTGATTTCACAGAGATATTTATAAGTTTTTATTATGGAAAATAGCTATATTTTGTATAAGTATGGATTGTTAAATAATACGAAATCAAACCACTGTTTAATGTAAAAAAGATAGTATAAAATATTTTTATTCAAGTAAATTTAGAATTAAGCATTTTTGAATAGTAATTTTTTCATTACCGCCCATTCGGAACGCAATTTCAGTCAAGAAGAACGGACAAGAAACTCAGCTGTTGCTTTTGCAAGAAGTTTAATTTTATAAATAATGAATTTGTGTAAATACAAACTACTAAGCAGTATCAGATCATGAAATTTAAAATATATAGTATATAATTGAAACAAATAAACAAATGTAGCTACGTATAATCGTTTTTAGTATTGTTTTAAAGAAAATAATTTTGATAAAAATCTAAACAGTCGGGGTTAGTTCTATCTATAGAATATTATAGTGGGCACTGTGTGCTGTGCTGATTTTCCCCCAGACTGATTCATTGCTTATCAGGTCAATGAGTTAATCAGCGTTGAAGCTTGTCTAGTGCGTAATTTGCATACCAATAGTTCCTCCTACGAGAGATGCATTGTTTTCCTGCTGGGTATTTTTATAATATACTAGTTGACCCAATACACGTCGTTCAGACAAAAGCTATTGTATAAGAAAAAGATAATTTTTTTTTTTGCCTTTTTTCTGCATTTTTTCCCAATATTATTCTACCAATAAACCTCTTTCGGACTTCAACGAATATTTGGAAAAATTGCCAATTCGATACCGTCCTCGAGGTTTGCGTTTAACAGTACATTTAAGGATTCATTTTTATTTATATAGAAGATTCTGCGGAAATAATAATGAAAAAATAAGGCTGGAAGCCTTACAAGAAGGGATTTTTTTTCTTACAAAAAGGAGAAAATTCTCAGTTGACCTCAATTTCTTTTGTGTATATATCATATTATATTTTTGCCAATCGGAACCTATTCTGATAAGATTTACTGCATCAATTTTTAGTAAAATAAAATTTCAAATTTGAAACTTATTTGAATTAAACTTTGAACTTTTTTTATGTTTTCACTATTTGAAATCCAACCCAAACTCCTTCCATTCAAATCTTCAAATCTATTTATTTGTTTAAGCATTTTGAATATCAAACCTTTATGTACTTATTCTTAAACTCTTTTAACAGATGCGCCAATTTTTGATGAGACCACACCGGACACAACTGTGGGAGTAGAGAATGAACCACTCATCATTGTACTAAGAGCAGATGGAAACCCTGGCAGTATCACGTACACTTGGACCAAGGATGGGCTGCCTATCACTCAATCGTCATATAGCACTTCAAGTAAGTAACTTTTAATATCTTAATGTATATATACTCACATATTTATGACTAATATACGTCAAAGTAAGAGAATTATAGATACTGACCTCGTACGACCAGATCAAATGATAAAGGCTGTACTGATGGTACGATGCATCATAAAACCTCTTTTGCATTAAAACACAAACCTTTTACAAATCTAAGTAATTTGTTACATATTATTAATTTAAAAAATGTAGTTAAAAAGAAAAATACGTTATTTTTATTAAGTCTTTTTCGTCTAATAAAACTAGCTCTTAAAGTGTCTTATTTATAAGTAAGTATTGAAACTGACTAAAAAATACTGTTTGAATTATTTATTTTTCAAAAAACACCTTATCATAGGACCTCTCTCTCTCTCTCTCTCTCTCTATTCCTCTTTCTCTCTCTAATTTCGCCATATTAAAAATACTTATTTGTATAATATTTCAATCTTTATTGAATGGCATTGTGCATCGTTTTTTTAACATTTACCAAATTATGGTACATACTCGTAGTTGCGCGTCTATGTAACACATAATAAAATCATCCATTTGTTCGTGATTTAGTATTACAGTAATAAATAATCTGGTAATCTACACTACAATGATACCTATCTGAATGACTTTAAGAATCTTTTCAAAAGTCTTATTAACGCAGAAGGATCGTTTAAAGTATAATTAAAATATACTACGATGCCATTTAAGAGAATTTAAGACCGCACTTTTCAAGTGATCAAATTCATGAACACCAATTAAGTAAATCGCTGCAGATTAAAAATTATCGCCTATTTTTACATTACAGGCTTTATGTAGGATATTTAAGTATCTATTTCTCATGTTTTTATTCAAATTTACTTACTCTTTATGGATGAACTTATGAAATGTTCTTCGTTGATAAATTGTATTAAGAAAGTGCCCACAAAGTGATTTATAAAGAAAGTTAGCCACGTAAATCAATTTTATTGATCAATTAAATTAAGTAGGTGTAATTTATTTACAGTCTTGCTTACAATTACAAATATAACAACAGTTTATTTTGTAGCAGTCTTACAAAACTTATAGTTTTAATTAAATTTATTATACACTAGCCGTTTCCCATGGCGTTGCCCGCTTCTAACTATGTAGTTCCCGTATATCATTACCATTTGAACTCTCCCTGAATTCTCTCTTCTATTGTATTATTTACTTAAATGATAATTACGTACCTAATACCTTCATAAAGTTTCAGCTAATTCAACTGATCGGTTATTTTATAGCATTTTATATGTGATTCTTTAAAACAGATCGAAATAAAACAAAAACTAAATGTTAAGTAAAGCAAACCGCAATGCACTAGTGAAAACCGCATTCAAATCGATTAAGCCGTTTCTGAGATTAGTGTGTACAAACGTATAAACAAACATCATACACATGGCCAAGGAGTGGAACTGTCTCCTTGCTTAGGTTTTCCTTTCAAATATAATGTGTACCAACTTAAGGCAAATGTGAACAGTGGGCCCACGAACCCCATCTTAGACCACATTATTGCTTTCCATCAGGTAAGATCGTGATCAATCGCCTGATCATTCAATAGTGACGTTCCATCAAAATGTCACATCACAAGCAATTATTTATAAAAAAAAAATCTAACACCAGTTTTTTTTTTTGTGCTATGTATTGAATTTGAGTTCCCAAGCACTTGCGTTTGCGCTTTTGGTGTACGCTCGCGTATGCCAAAGTTTGCAGCTGGTTGACTTATAATATGGATGATGGATCTGGGCTTCAACCTTTCTGATGCGGATTGATGGACGATGAGTTATCATGGTGAGAAAGTCTAACACCAGTTAAAAAATAAACAAACACCTTACATAAGCTAGGATAATAAATGAAACGATGTCTTTTAGGAGTTCATATTAGCTTAAAGTGCTTACTTACATTGGATTCTATTTAAGATTTTCATCAAATAAATATATTACACAGTAAGCACTCATCTATTTCTGTAATAGCTTTATCGACCTTGCCCGAAGGTATTATCAATTTTATTGGAAATCTAATAAAGAAATGTGATAGAGAATCTGAAAATTTTCACGTTTTCGTGATTCATAGTTGTAATCTTGGATATTTATTCCGACGGGACGACAGTATTTTTGATGTCTTTTTGTCAATTATTATATTTAGAATTTGTTGTTGTATTTTATGAATTCAAATCTTCTATATTTATCATATTTAAATAATTTTGTATTCTATATTTAAGACGTAAATAAAGTATTATTTAACGCTGAGATAGCATAAAATACGAGTAGTACTATATTGATTTCAAAATACGCAGTATTTTTTAATAGAATAATTAAATTGGGTTTCTTAAGAAAAAAAAAACAACTTTAATAGTGCCTTACCAAACCAACTTAGTGCTAACTTATTTTAATTTAAAAACTAAACTATTGAATTTGATAAGATTTCTATGAGACTAATCTATAAAAATATATGTTCAGATAAAAAAATAGTTTTCCAAATTGATTTACTACTGACGGAATTATGAGGTAACATACATTAAAAACAAAGTATGTACAATTTGACAACTCCTTCTTTTTGAAGTCGGTCGAAAACTTCTTCCACAAAAAAAGGTGTCAAAATAAATACCTCACCAATTACACTGGTTAGGATATTTTTAAGGTGCATTTGATAATAATATCAAAAATAATTATATATCTTCGCTGGACAATTAAATCTATTCTTCAATAAGTCGATTTGATTTTATTATAGGTTTTTTTTATGCAAATTATAATGGTAAACAAGCTAACGTCTCACGTGATGGAAAGTGGTAACCGTCGCCTACCATGCAAGCAGTACCATAGACATAACAGAGTATACTATTTCGCCCATGATACCCCTCATGCGTTGCCATTCCTGAGGACTCAGGTGTTATTCCTCTGTACCCAATAAATTCACTGCCATATCCCACCGTTGAAACAGAAATACAGCCATGCAAACACAACTGCTTCGTTGTAGAAACACGAATAATAATAATAATAGGTTTATAGATATCAAAATTATTCTTCTAGGTTGATATATATATATATATATACCGAGATAACCAAAACCTACCCCTCTTGAAAAGTGGCTAACGTATCTAATGATAGATAGTGCGTTATCACTATATAAGATAAAATAAGACAGCAACGTCGCTTGTCTTTTTCCTTACTCAATCATATGCTAACAAACACGTATCTACCGTTATTTCTCATATAATATGTTACACCTCAAAGCGGGTCAGTCGAAGGTAGCCCGCACAATTATTCTTTTGCCACTTTTCTATAAGATTGCTGAAATTTTAGTAAATTTGTAATTTGTTTAAATCTTTATTAATTTTTTAAACAGATGAAAGGATTCTCTCCGAAGGCAGTATGCTCAACATCACTCGACTATCAAGGCACGACGCTGGCGTCTATACTTGTGAAGCGGTCAACTCTCAGGGTGCAGCTATTGCAAATATATCAGTTTCTGTCCATTGTAAGTATAATATTGCTATCTACCTATATATCATAATATCTGTATACATAAAAGAGTATACTGAATAACTGATCTGTATATCAACGCTCAGCCGAAACCGCTGCATCTAGAACCTTGAAAGTTTGCAGACAGGATCTTTATATATCGTAGGCGAACAATCGTATGGGAAGTTTAACCTTTTAAGAGTTACATTTTTGAAAATTTAACCCATAAGGGGATACAACTTTCAAAATCCACGCGTATGTAGTTGAAGGTAAAATTTAGTATAAATAGTTTGTTGTCTGTAGACAATATCTATGAGGACTAAGATGTTGTCTCCGAAGCTTGTAATTTCACTATTATATCTCATCTTCCAACCCCAAATATAACCATGCATGTAGATAGATCATCATTATGATCATTTGTCAGCCTTTAATTGTCCACTGCTGAACATAAGCCTCTCCTAGGGAGGTTTTGCCAGTAGTTGCTATACTTAGCAGGCGGATTGGCAACCGCAGTTAATCTTTAGAGATGTTTTAAAGGGAACGTTGTTGCCCATCCCTCGTCCTCAGGGAAGTCGGCTCTTACGAGATCCATGGGATAGATAAGTAGATAGATAGATAGATACTCTTTATTGTTTCCTGCAAAAGATTACAATAGTAAACTTATTATAGATACAAACAATTTAGAGAAATACAACTTTAAAACATTTTTCCATTATAACAATAATTTAGTTTAGCCCCTTTTTAATAGATTAATCACGTAATCATTATTTTGTTTTAAATTTTCTTTATTAATTTACCACAATCACAGGACAATTCACAAACAGTTCAGTGACCTTCAAAAATCATTGCTCCCTTAAATAATAACTTTATGATATAAAACTTGAATCAGTGTTTCACAGAAAATTCAACGCTCTTCTTTTATATTCTGTGAAATTTCGCAGAAAATAAAGGTCGTGTGTTTTTATGAATTAAGACACCAGGCTACAGATGAAATTCATAGAAATTGCCTTGACAAAATTTCGTGACGAATATAATAAATAAATCCTATACTAATATTATAAATATGAAAGCTCGTTTATTTGTTTCTTCTATTTATGGTTCAATTATGATAAAATTTCATATCTACCTATTATTGTCATCATCCAAGGCAATATCTTTCTTGTCTCTGTTTCTTGTATTAAATTTCAGTGACGTTTCAATTACATCATTGGTATTTAATAACTAACGACAAAAACATTTATCATTTTTTCTAAAAACCATTTTAATTTCCTAATATTACGTGATTTTTAGGGTTCCGTACCTCTAGGTAACGAAGTTGCAGGAATAGGTAGTATGATTTAAGAAGAAAGAGTAAAGACTATAAATTAAACCACGTGTTTCATTTTAGATCCGGCCAGTATAAAATTCGTTGGTCAAAGTGCAATAGTGAATCCAAATGAAGATGCAGTTCTATCGTGCACAGCTACGGGTGAGTAAAATTATCATTAATTTAGGTAAAGCAATGAAAAAATATAAAATATTTAATCATAATAACAATGAATTACACTATGTGTACATTTCAAACGAGATGGTTACCAATTCTTAAGCAACTCCAAAAAGTAATAGGGTCTCAATATTTGTACATTATTTTTGTTACTATTTCATACAATTCATACTGCTTCATGCATACATAAAGTTTGCTTACATGTTGATCTTATATTAAATTTATTTTTGTTATTTTATGTGTATTTTTTTTATTTTGTTCCAAATCAATGCAGTTAATTATTTGTACAAATAAATATACTCTCAGAACATTAATAAATCTAATATATTAAATATTTTATTAAATCCAAAGTAATCAGTTACTTTTTGCATTAAACTGTCAGTTTTCATAAGAAAAAAAGTAAGAAAGAAATATTTTTATTACAGTAACTTATTTAAATATTTTTGAATAGTCATTTTTTCATTACCGCCCATTCGGAATGCAATTTCAGCCAAGAAGAACGGGCAAGAAACTCAGCTGTTGCTTTTTTTCAAAATGTTTAACTAGATAAATAATGAATATGTGTAAATACAAACTACTAAGCAATATCAGATTACAGAATTTAAAATATATAGTATATAATAAAAACAAACCAACAAAATTAAAATTTATATTATTTACTAATTTAGAAGTATCAAGTATTGATTGCAATACAATTTCAGGTAATCCACTAACATCGGAACACATCAAATGGGAAAGAAAAGGTCAGATGCTCGATTCGAAACACGTCACTTTTGACCCTAAAAATTTTACCAGTCACCTGCAAATATTGAAAGCGACAAGAGACGACGTTGGTGATTACAGTTGTGTCGTCGACAATGGTATAGGAAATAAGGCCAAACAAGATGTCATGCTGGTAGTCAAGTTCAAGCCTGAAATGGACTCGTCTCCCAGTCTAGTGAAATCTGCGTCCAATGTTGGACAAGTGGGAAGACTGACTTGCAAGTAAGTGTGTTTAAAGTTTACTAAGTTGTAACTATAACTGTGTAAATTCTTTAAGAAATATCTATACCAGTTGTAAGTTTTTTTTAAATTGCTAATCTTACAAAATTGTAGCTACAAGATGTTTATTAAACATTAATATGAGACGTCTACATTCAAAGCAAAAGAAACCAAAATGATAATTTTTAGAAATTTTGTCTGTCAATCTATTTTTTTTATAATGTGCATAGTGGATTAACAAGCATGGGGCTCACCAGATCACCTTATGATAGTATAATCTATTAAATTGTGTATCAAGCAAAAACTACTGCACCAAACTGGATATGGTTTTCACAATTGTATTGTACTAAAGGTTCTTAAAATCTAGTATATATTTTATTTTGATAGAATCTAGAAGTGATCTATTTATTTAATTTTTCTTTTTAATAAAATCCACGCATACAAAGTAACGAACAAAACCCAAAACAAATAGGTTATAAACCTAATAACATCTTTTTTATAATAAAAATTTATTCAAGTAAAGTTAATAACTTTAATTTTTGAATAATCATTTTTTTATGAAACTATCGCCTAGTTCGGAATACAATTCCAGCTGAGATGAACAGACAAGAAACACAGCTGTTGCTTCTTTTCAAATACAAGTTAAGTTTACAACAAAAAATTATGAATGGACAAAAAGACTAGCACAAACTTCGTATTGATAAAAAGAATAATAACAAAAAGCTACTAAGCTACAATCAATCACAATATTCTTGAACAGCCCAATCCCTACTATAAGTACCCGTTCACGAGTATGACGCAGCATTGTGCTCAAGCATATTATAGTGAGCTTAAAGTCGGCCCACCACATCGTCCTTTATTTTAATCTGCCTATCTATGTTTAGATATCAACCTTTATCCATTTCCTTATTTCAGATGCAAAGCAGCCCCAGCACCTAACTTCACTTGGTCTAAAAACGGAGCTAAATTACCAGTGAATACGTCGACGAAATATTTTGCTGAATTCCATAAAATTGACGCTATAACCTACGCCTCTGTGTTGCTTGTGAACGATGTGACATCGTCGGACTATGGGTCTTTCGAGTGTGGGGCCAGAAACGACTTGGGCTTCAGCACTACCTCTGTGAAATTAGACATCACCAGTGCTCCAGGTAAGAAATATAGTTTTTAAATCTTCTATAACTATTTCTGGTTCTGTATCGTCTCTCTCTCTATCTCTATCTCTTAGTATCTGTGTCTTTATCTATATCTATATTTACATCTACGTTAAAGTGTTTACCTGCAAGTATATTTTTGTCTGTTCCAGTGTTTTTCAAACTGTTTCATACCGCGACCCCCTTAATATGTAAAATTGTTTTGGTACACCCTACCCTCTGCAGTGTCTAACCTGTATTATATTACAAATATCAAATACATATATTTTTATTTTAAAAAGTTTCGGTTAAATACAATAAAATAAATATAAACATAATAAAGTATCTACAATAGACATCGATTACGTTGCGAAACTGTTTTTTTTTTTATAGCTTCGCAACCTTCCGCGACTTTCTTGTATAAACTTGGGGGTCCCCTAGGGGGTCGCGATCCACACTTTGAAAAACACTGATCTATTCCTATGACTGTATCTATATTCATATAACCGACAGCTATGTGAGAGTAAAACTGAGGGAGTACTTCTGTGAATATAGTATTATTGTATATATTATATATATATATATATATATATATATATATATATATATATTATGTATCTATTTGCCGTGTGGTCCCGGCATTGAATACTATCCCTTCCTTTCCTGTGAGTGTCGAAAGAAGCGACTAAAGAATATTTTGGTCGAGGGATGGGCAGCAGCATCTCTCTTTAAACATCGATAAAAGCCTAACTGCTGTTGCCAACCTGCTTGCCAAACGTGGCAACTACTGGAAAAACTGTCCATATAGGGGGAAGTCTATGTTCAGCATTGGACAGTTAAAGGCTGGAATGATGATGATCCATATCTACTCGTATATTTATATGTCCATAATTATATCTGATCATATTTAGATTAAACTGAGCTGGCAAATATTGTATTGCCCCATACCGCCACCTACCGGATCATTTTTTCTCTTGTCGGAATAAAAACCATCCTGTCTCGTAAATTTGGAGCAAACATATTGCAAAATTTCATTTATATCGATTCAGTTGTTTCGGAGATTGACGTGAACAAACAACGTGACACGGGATTTTTATATATTAAGTTATATATATATATATATATATATATTAAAATCCCATACATATTATGGGGTTGAGTCGCAATAGAGACACGAAATAGTGATATAAGAATTATAGAATACGTTCCATTAATAATAGGTAATGGAAGAAATGACTATTCAAAAATTATTAAATGTAACTTGAAAAAAAATCGTGTTTCCTTTGTTTATTTATTTATTTTACACTTTATTGCACCAAGTAAAAAGAAAAATAACAAATACAGTAAATATTAATGAGAAGTGATACAAAAGGCGGCCTTATCGCTAAGCAATCTCTTCCAGACAACATTTGGGTAGAGGACATTGAGAAAAAGACAAAGGGTAGGTGGCGCAATATTATATAAATATTATCATATATACACATACATACACACACTCATACATACACACCCTCATACATACACATATATACATATATATACACAATCAAATATATACATAAACATACACATATTTAATAGCACACATACGAAAGGAGAGAATGACGAGGGAAAACGAAGAGAGAACACAAGAAAATAGTAGTAAAGGGAGAGGTAGTAGGATTTAACAGAGGTTTCTTTCTTTCTTTCTTTATAAAAATATTTCCAAATTGTTACAGATCAAGTAATATCAATGATGGTGACGAATGTCACACACAACACAGTGACTCTAGAATGGGTGCCTGGATTCGATGGGGGTTTACCTTCTTGGTATAGAATACGATACAGGTATGGTATACCATATTTTTTTTTAATGAACGATAATGCAATGATAACACCGCCTGCGCTAACGGTATACGCTGGCAGGGCTCCAGTGAGGGATGATAGGTGAGAATGAAAAGGCATGTCAGTTAGCCCATCGTGATGAATAAGCCTGGAATTCAGCACGATAGTTTCCAGGGAGGACCACGTGGAGGTCGACCTGACAGAGTGTATTGCTAGCAGTAGTAGTCCGCATTACTAATAATTATATGAAATTTCTCAATAAAAAATCATAGGTTTTAAACTATCGTCCCTTGTGATAAAATCCTATTAAATATATATATATATATATATATATAATTTCCAATATAAGAAAAAAAATTAAAATATAACTGTTGAAGTTTCTTTGAGTTTTAACGTTAGCTGTCACTTCAGTTTATGAAATACAAAAAAACTAATCAGACGCCACGTGATAAATAACTGTGAGCATGCTTCTATTGTTTAAAAACTTCACTATAAACTCAACAGATATCTTCCAATCTAATTTAAACTTTAATAGTTCGTGCAAAGTTGTGAAAATAGAAAAACTTTGATTGTATTTAGTCATTTATCATTATTTACTTTTCGCTTGTTTAATTAACTGCTTTTGCGATTGGAGATTAGATAAATTAATTTACAGTTCAGAATAATATTCAACGCTTGAAGCGTAATATGGGCGTCACAGTATATACTGTGCTGTCCATGGTGCTATTGTTTATAGGCGACTGTTACCAACTTCAATCAATTGGGTCGTCGGCTTGTACGAAATTCCAAGTTGTAGAGAACAATATGTATATACAAGCTGAATTCAAAACCATTTTACAGACTACTTACTTTACTTACTTCTATTAGTCACTTTGAACGTTATTCCCAAAGAAATAAGTGTCAAAATGACAAAAATTTTGAGCATCCAATATTAGCTTGATTTGTATGGGAGACTTAAGTTCTTTGTGGATGATCATGGAATGGTATATGCTGGTGGGATATCAGTGAGGGATAGGTGAGGCTTGCGATGCCGACCTTGAAGAAACCTCTTAACTCTAAACTTACCCCCCTTTTGAAGAACCCAATGTTGTAGTCTCTTGGAATAACCTCGGCAGGGAGCTCATTCCATAACTTGAGTGTATTTTTTTTAATAGGTGATAATGAAATGGTAACCCCGCCTGCGCTATCGGTATACGCTGGCGGGGCACCAGTGAGGTGACGATGAAAACAGCTCAGTTAGCCCATCGTGATGAATTCACTTGGAATTTAACACGATGGTTTCCAGGGTAAACCACAGGGAGGTCGACCTTACAATGTGTATAATATAGACTATCCCTTCTCTCTAATAAATACACAGTTATTGCTTAATGACGAAATAGTAAATTTTGTTAATGATACAGTTTTTTTAGGTATAACAGTGGACTCGAAATTACAATGGGGGCCCCATATTTCAAAATTGGCCAGTAGACTCAGTTCTGCTGCATATGCAATTAGAAGAATTAGGCAATTAACAGACGTGGCGACGGCTAAACTTGTATATTTTAGTTATTTCCATAGCATAATGTCTTATGGCATACTGCTGTGGGGTAAAGCAGCCGATATAAATACTATATTTGTTTTACAAAAGAGAGCCATACGTTCTATTTATGGTATGGGTTCAAGAGAGTCATTACGTCAGTGCTTTAAAGACTCAAATATCCTCACAGTTACTTCACAATACATTTATGAAAATATTATGTATACACGGAAGAACTTAGCGAGTTTTAAAAAACTCAAAGACTGTACAAGTAGAAACTTACGCAATATAAATAAGCTTATTTTACCTAAATGCCGTCTGCACAAAATCAGTAATTCATTCTATAGTAATTGCATAAGATTTTATAATAAACTGCCGGAATCTGCATTAAATCTGACAGAGAGGCAATTCAAATCTTATATTAAACAATTTTTATGTAAGAAAGCCTATTACAGGATAGACGAATTCATAGATGACAACATATCAAGTAAATAATTAGTTTATTAGCATACAACGTTATAATTTTATTTTCTCATTGCTTTCTTGATTTAATTGATTAATTTTAGAAATATGAAAGCGTAGCGGTTTTTTGTATTAATTGCCGCATGCATTCTTATGTAAAATGTGAATACTATAACTATCAGATGGCAATTGTGAGTAGCTTTGACGTGGTCTAGTGTTTTGAGTAGTCATGCTCACTAAAATGTCCAGACTTGTGGCGGCGTGGTGGGCCGGGTCATTGGGCTCCCTAAAATATGGTCGAGCACAGTGATGGCTGGCTCATCCGTCATACTCGTGAACGGGTGCTGCTTGTAGGGACTGGTCTGCTCTAATCACTATGACTGATTTCCTCTTATTAATTGTTTAACCAGTTGGTTATGTATTCAATTTTTTTTTCTTTTTGAGTATTTAATTGAATTAGTGCTAATTGGTGGTTTGTATTCACACAATTAAACTTAAAAATGTAAAATAATAATAAAATTATTTAAAAGAGCATCACGCAAGTTTCTTGCTCGTTCTTCTTGTGATGAGACAGCTTTCCGAACGAGCGGTAAATTAAAAAAAATGTAATGACTTTTCAAAAGTGCTTCAATGTAAGTTTATTTGAATAAATGATTTCTATTCTATTCTATTCTATTCTCCTGTCCGTGTTTAGTTATGTGATCGTTCTAGAATTGGAACATTTATCACAGTTTTAATGGAACAGTAACTAGCTGTTATTTTTAACCGTTATTATTCGGTTATGAGACAGGAACGGTTATCACAGTTTCAATAAAATAGCCGGTTTTTTTCAACCTGTTATATTTGACTGTTCCCATACATATGCCTGATATCTTTTTAGGAAAATTTACGACGAATCGTATAAATATGAAGATGTATTACCGAAAAATGCCACGACATACACAATTGGTGGACTGGAGAGGAATACGGACTACGTGTTCTCTGTAATGGCCATAAACAAGATCGGACAAAGCAAATATCGGCCGGACGATACGAAGGCTACAACTCTTAGTAAGTATATAGGTTTAAATATATAAATATATACATTTAAATATATATATATATATGGAGTGACGACCTGAAATGCGTTGCAGGGAGTTAGTGGATGCAGGTGGCTCAGGACCGTTCTTTATGGCAGTCTATGGGGGAGGCTTATGTCCAGCAGTGGACATGATAATGGCTGAAATGGTGATGATGACTCAGTAAATAGAATGAGACAAAAATCTCTTGCTCAATGCAACTACTCAATGATGTTTTGAGCCGGTGTCCACAATTGGACGTGTTTGCCTCCATCTTGCTGGAGTTTCGTCGGATGACCACAGAGTGTTTGTGTTCAGAGATTTAAGATTATTTTATTGTTATATGATTTAAATATAATTAATATTATTTCTTTTAATTATACATATGTGTTACTGTACTGATACTTCCTGGGTGTGCGTATTGGGAGACCGTAATGTTCACTTAGTAATAAATAAATCATCATCTTCCTACCCTTATCCCAATCATTTGGGGTCGGCGTAATATGATTTTATCCATATTACAAAAAGATTTGGTTTTTAGTTTTACGACCGACCACCTGTCTGACGTCAACCCTCTTTGGGAAATAGTTATAAATAAATAAATATACTAATAATTAGCTGATTGCTTGCTATTCCATATGTTTAGATTTAAGAAGTAGGAAACCAATGAAATAGGTGTATCAATATGTAAAATACACATATCTTTAAGCTAGACATTTAGGAATACAACTGTGGAAACCGCATTTCAATTTGGTACAATGATTTCGGTGTGATGTTGGAACAAACATACAAATTTTTGAAAATGTCCTTTTACACCATCGTGTATTTGCCATATGGTCCCGATATATGTAGAACATGAGCTACTTTTTTTCCCGTGGGTGTCGGAAGAGGTGACTAAGGGAACTGCAATTGCCTATCTGCCTGCTAACCATGGTTACTACTGACACCCCCCCCCCCCCCTTCACCCCTTTGTGGGTGAGACTACGTTCAGCGGAGGACAATTAACTGTATAGTATATGTAATGTAATTATTTGTAATATTGACTTCATATATTTTCGTAATATAAAAAAATAAAATAAAGTAAATAATAATAAAAGAAGAAATAAAATATAATTTATAAATGATAAACACGAGTACATTGTACATTTGTACTTGGAAGTTTTTTGAGAAAAATTTATACGAAGAAGAAACCTTTTTTTTTATTTTGTCTGTACGTTTTCTAACAGTATGTCTTCCTAAAATACTAACTTCAAGTCCGATGTATGTTTTGTCTTGATTCGCCATCTACAGATAGTCTATTTTATTAGGTTTTCTAATACTAAATTCACATATACAAAATAGCAAGCAAAGCAGGTACCAGAGGGAGACTTTGTACAAAAGTCGATTGCTTGGGTACCTCTGTCCCATTCGTGTTTCAACCGTGAAGCAGTTGTTTTTGCATGGCTGCGTTTCGGTTTGAACGGTGAGATATGGCGTGAATTTACAGGGTACAGAGGAATAACATTTGAATCCTCCGGAATGGCAACGCATGGGGGCTATCATGGGCGAAACAGTATACTCTGTTATGTCCATGGTACTGCTCATGTCTATAGGCGACGGTTATCACTTTCCATCAGGTGGGCCGTCAGCTTGTTTACCATTCTAAATTGTATAAAAAAAAATACATAAGTAAAAATAACTCTAAAAGAGTTAATCTCGCCGTTGTACGTTTACTTACCTCTGTCATATTTTTATATACTATCAATATGTACAGTAATGTATAAATGAATAAAATAAAAATGATTTCAACGATCCTTATAAAACCCATAGAATTTGTATGAAACAGAAGTTTCAAGTTGCTACTCTGGACTACCATTCAATTACTTCTGATTCCAAAAAGCATTGTTATCACATTTAATTATTTTAAAGATTGTATTTCTTATTTATTTGTATCGACAATTGTATATTTTGTTAATGGATTTATTTCAACTATTCTAAGACAATTGTCTCGGATTTCTATTAATTTTGAGTGAACCAATTAAATTGGTTTATTCCAAAGTACTTTACTGATATACTATATGTTTATCTTATTATTTATTTATTTATTTAAACTTTAATGCACAGTAAAATTGTATGTACATTTGACGGACTTAATACCGGACGGTGTTCTCTACCAGTCGACCATTGGGCGAACATAGAAATAAAAAGGCGATGCATTATTGAATAGAGGAAAAATAAAACAATACTTGATATATCCATATAATATAAACATATAATTAGACTAATATAAACATACACATAATATATTAAATAAATATACACATACATAAATAAATGGATAAAATTTTAAAATATTAAACATTTATCTTAATTTTCTATTTATCATTTATTTTATAACTAATTTTGTTTTTAAACGTTAAAATTTTGAAAATTATTGTCAACATAGCATATCTTCTTCTTATTTAAGTGTTTCCTCTTGTCGGTGCAACTAATTCATGCATCTTCTTCCAGCCAGCTCTATCCCAGACTATATCCTTGACCTCCCTATACGATATGACACCTAGTGTTTCCTTTATCTGCCCCATGCAGTTATTTCTCGGTCTTCCTCTTCTTCTTTTGCCTTCTATTTTTCCTTCTAGTATGCTCTTTATAAAATCTCCATGTCGTATAGTTTATATAAATATTAAAATTAACTTATAATTCAAGATAATTTACCAGAGGGAGGCTTTGTACAAAAGTCGATTGCTTGGGCACCTCTGTCCCATTCGTGTTTCTACCGTGAAGCAGTTGTGTTTGCATAACTGTGTTTCGGTTTAAAGGGTGGAATATGGCGTGAATTTACAGGGTACAGAGGAATAACACCTGAGTCCTCAGGAATGGCAACGCATGGGGGCTATCATGGGCGAAACAGTATACTCTGTTATGTGCATGCTACTGCTCATGTCTATAGGCGACGGTTACCACTTTCCATCAAGTGGGCCGTCAGCTTGTTTGCCATTCTAAGTTGCATAAGAAAAAATCAATAGAATTTTATTAAATATTAAATTTAATACAAACAATTCTTCATAAAAAAAAAACATATACGTATCTAAACAGTTCTCAATTATAATTATACATTTCATATATTTAAATTAAAATTCATTAATGATTTTAAAATTATTAACTCTCTACTTCTATTTCATATACAGTTATTTCAAATAACTTCACATTGCATATGTGAAGTTATTTGAAATAACTGAAGCATTGTTCTAAGAAATGAAACGTATTATAATTCAAAATGCAAAATTAATAAACAAATTTCATTTTCAATATCGAATAACCAAAAATAATTTCATATCATTATTTCATTGTATAAAGTCGACGGAATAATTTTGAATATAATATTCAAGTCTTATTATTATTTATATGAAACAAAACTGGTCGCTTATCGTTACAGTTCATGTGTTCATATATAATTAGGTACATATATATGTATATGTAATACGTTAGGTTGTTAGAGATACATTAATGAATCTATCACAACAATATTATTTGTTAGGTGTATTAAAATACAATTTGGTTATTAACAGCAAACGAAAAGATACGTTTTCTTAATGGCAATACGGTACTGAATTTAATGCGAACGTTACAGGAATCTTTATTTACAAATAACGTAATGCAGACAGCGTATGTTTTTATCTGACTGCCAAATAATGGAAGCTTTTGCTTTCGGGCAATATCTAATATTTTTATACTTAGTATATAGCTTTTATATGCTAAGTATAAAGATAAAGCCAGTTTTTTTTTTTTTATTTTAAAAGCATTCGCACTATCTTTCTTTTATTTTTTTAATGTATGATAATGAAATGGTAACCCCGGGCTATCGGTATACAACAGCGGGGCATCAGTGAAGGATGATCGGTGAGGATGAAGCAAGTCAGTTAGGCCCTCGTGACGAATCAACAAGAATTGTTCACGATGGTTTCCAGGTGGAAACACGTGGAGGTCACCTAATAGAGTTTGATAGTCCCATTGCTAGCAGTATGCTAGCAATGGGACTATCAAACTCCATTGCTAACAATCCCTTCCCCCCCCCCACTAACTTTTATTGTGTAGTCCCGGCATAGAATAGGCCCTTTCCCTTGGGTGTCGTAAAAGGCGACTTAGATAGGGGCTCTTAAAACATCTCCAAACCCTAACTGCGGCTACCAATCCGCCTGCCAAACGTGACAACTACTGGGAAAACCCACTAGAGGGGGGCTTATGTTCAGCAGTGGACAGTTAAAGGCTGGTATGATGATGAGTCGAAATTTAATGCGATTAGAAAAAGTTAATACGTCTTTTATAAGAATGTGCATTAAATGTTATAGCAAGATACCGAAGAAAATTTTGGATCTACCTTTTAATAAGTTTAAAACTATTATTAAAAACACACTTATTGAACAAAGCCTATTACCCACTAAACGATCACTGGTAATTAATGCTCCTTTCCACTCAGGGATTGCTGGTAGAGAACTCTTACAGAGTTAAGCTCGCCTGTTGTACATCTTCATTTAATATATATTATAACAATGTAATTTTTGTATACAATAAAGTATACAAACATAAATTATTCGAAACATGCTCTAATTATTAAATTAACAATCTTACAATAAAGTTAATTAGTAACTTATAATTGAAATTTAGTAAAATATAAAACAATTGCACAATGTTTAGTAACATATTTATATATGTAGTATTTAATAATTAACATTTATTGTACTTTTTAAATTATAATTTATTTAATTTATATGATTATACTAATATTAAAATATATTTAATTATTTTTGAAAATTAACATTCAATGTATACATACTATAAATTAACTGGTGTGTTATAAATTATGTTATAATATATAGTAATATATTATAACATTATTTGAAATTGTTTAATTATTTTTAAACATAGTCTTCTGTAAGAAAATTCTTGAATTCATCTCTTAAATATATTACGAAATATAATATTTTTTAATATATGTATTATCTAAACATGATTTCCAAATCATTCCACGCTGCAACAGACATGATCCCATCATCAGTACAGTCGAGCTCTGAGGAGTATAACTCCTATAACGTTCCTGGGGTGTTCATCATCACGGGAACCATTGTTGGAACAGCACTGATACTGTTGAATGTATTGCTGATCGGATTCTGTCTACACAGGAGGACGAATAAACGGATAAGAGGTTGGATTACTAATAGTGTTAAACTCGTGTTACTGTTGACATGTATGTAGATAGATTTTGGAGGTGCTTTTTTTTTAAATAATTTTGTGGATGAAAAGAAAAACTTATTCATTTATAAATCGGATTGTCTTTCTTTAAATTAATCATGATTTTAACTCTCTTTGCCTTGAATTTAATAGCGCAGTATTTTTTTGTAAACTGACATATGTATTGCATTATTATATGTATGCACTTTATTTATTTATTCTTAAAACATAAAAAATATTTATATTATATATATAATATAATATAATATATATATATATATATATATATATATATATATATATATATATATATACTAATATAGCAATCTTTTCGTTTATTTCTGTACTTTATTTATTTAGTCTTAAAATCCAATAAGTTTATTTATATTATATGTTTTATTTTTATCATAATGGTAATTCAATTAACAAATAAAAATATAACAAAAATAATTAAAGTAATAACATTAATAATTTTGTATATTATTCCATTAAATATTGAGAAATATATATTTATTTATTCTTCAATTTTTATAAGAAAGTAAATTATATTTTATATTTAAATATAATTTATTTAAGTGACAATTAAATTATATTTTATCCACAAAATTATTTCCTATTCATAACTTTTTGTTATTATTATTTGCTAATTTTATTTCTTCTTTCTTTTTTCTTTTATTAGCTTCGTCGGAAGTAGGTGAACTGAATGTAGTCCCAACAGAGTTCGTGGAGACGGGAGACATGTCCAAGTCTGTGACTCTGTACGTCACATGCAGTGGTGCTTTACTTGTTTTGTTGAATGCCGCCTTTATCGCTTGTTTTATATTAAAGAGACGCTCCCGTCGATTGAAAGGTGAGATTTTTTTTTATTTGCATTTTTTTTTTTTAATAATTTTTAATCTTTTATTCTTTGCCGTACTTTATAGTTGTTGAATACTGGCCGTTAGCTAAATATGGGATGTATGTATATTAGAAAAATAGTTAAGTTAAAAATGCTAGTTTACAATGAGTTTATATGAATAGATCACTAATCTTTTATGCATATCATCTTTCACACAGCCCATCCACTTTCCATCCTGTTCAAAATGAAACTTTTAACATACATTGACAATTGTATTTTTTTATAAAAAACAAAAGAAAGTTGCTAAACAAATTAATTTAGAACAAAAATATTACTTGAAGTCAACATACGGCATTTTTACATACAATTAATATAAATAATAATATATAAAAGAAGAACCAGTATATTTTATAAACACATCCCCTTCCTTAACATCCATCCACTTTCATATTTAACACTTTCTTTTAACCATATAAACACATCCCCTCCCTTAACATCCATCCGCTTTCATATTTAATACTTTCTTTAAACCATATAAACACATCCCCTCCCTTAACATGGATGTTAATCTTTATATTTAACACTTTCTTTAAAAAGTATTGAGAATGAAAGAGGATAGATGTTAAGGGAGGGGATGTGTTTATATGAAACACATCCCCTCCCTTAACATCTATCCGCTTTCATTCTCAATACTTTTCTTTAAACCATGGCTTTTATTCCTACACATGGCATGATCATACCAAGATATTTCTGTTTACCTCTATATTTAATATAATCATTCTATACAGAACAAGCCGGCCAGTCTTCAAAATCGGCCACCATAGAAATGTACGCGCCATCGTCCTACAACGATACAATGACTGGGGAGACCTTGAGTTCAGTGTCGGAGAAGTCGGAGACATACTCCCAGGACGATGGGGATGATCGGCAGCCACCGCCCATTCCTGAGGTTCCGTCGATGCCTAACAGGCATATGTTGAGTCAGGTAATACTGCTATTACTGTTTTTTTTTTTAATTGATAATAATAATTGCTTTTATGGATGATAAAGGAGTGGTAACACTGTCTGTGATATCGGTATACACTGGCAGGCTACCAGTGAGAGATGATAGGTGAGGATGAAACTAGGTCATTTAGCCCATCGTGACACATTGAACAAGAATTAATCACGATGGTTTCTAAAAAGAGCCACGTGGAAGTCGATCTGATAGAGTATATTGCTAGCAATAGGGCAATTAAGTCCCTTTACTAACAATCCCTTTCCCCCTGTTAAGTTAGAGTATAACTTACCCGTGTAAAGGTTAGATCCTAACTCAACGCAGGTGACTTTATGTACTCATTTCATAGAGCAAGGCCACGGGAAACAGCTAGTGAAGAATATTAATAATTTTCATTGACATTCCTTCAACAGCAGACGGACGCGTACCTAATGGACGAGCAGGGTCTAGTCATCCCCCCTCCCCTGGACTATCCCCCGCCCAACTACGCGGTGTACGAAGGTGATCACGCGAGAACACTGCCACACCCTCACAGACATAAAGATATCAGTGGTCACAATACGTTGGGAAGGAGTGCTGGTAAGTAATTTGTAATAAAATAAAATAAAATAAAATATTTATTTGTTTTAAACATACATTTAATATAATAAAGGCCACAACATGTGACAGAACTTTTTGGCATCTGTTTGCTTCAAAATTGTAGAAATGCAAATTTAATGTATTAATTTAATTTTATTTTATTTTAATAAGTACACATTACAAAGAATTAACAATGTTATATTAATTTATATAGTACAATAATGTTTTGTCCAAGCGAATCCTCCAAAAATATGCGTACACAGCATGATCAAAACATAAACACATCACAATTTAAATAAATAAATACACAAACAAACAAGTATAAACACAAACAAACAAGTATAAACACAATATAATTTATACAACAAAAAAATCGTTACCTAATCTTCAACGGCCATTTTGAAAATATATTACAATATTGAGTACTGCATATTGTATTGTAAAAATTACTAAAAATGTATACAAAATTACACCACAAAATCGACTGGAAGGTTCTTTTTCTAATTCATCTTGCAAGATTTGACCTAGACAGATGTGTGTATGGTGAACAAACATATTATAAGAACAACATATTTAACTTATTTATAAATTAACAACTATAAAGGTAAATATACAAACACATGCAAATACATGGATATATATATATATATATATATATATATATCCATGTAATCAGATAATACAGATACAAAATGAATGTCAAAGAAAAAGTATATTTAAATAGATGAATAAATAAACTAAGAACTTATAGGTACTATAGTCTATTAATATATTTACAGAAAAACATTTTTTAACACATATCCATTATAACGATACAGCATCAAGTGTAAAAAACGTATCAAAATCTAGTCAACCATTTTGATATTTAGGTGGCAATTTATTTTTTACCAAAATAAAGCTCTCTTTTTTCAGTGTTGCAAGTGATTGGATTGAAAATTTCGCAGAACAGAACGGTTTTTAAATTTTGAATTTGGAACTGTTCTTTCTAATATAAATATTTATATATTACGTCACGTAAATATGTAGAAATATACATTTTTAAAAATACTTTTGTTACCGCCTATTCAAAGCAAATACACTATTTTATTCTATTCTATTCGCATCTGTCGGATAGGGTTGCCACAATTGTTTCTAGGATAATATGAACAAAACTCGATTCTCTTTACTTTAATTTACATTGAAACAGGCTGCAATGTATTTTATTTGTTAGCGACTCTAAAAATAAACAACGGAAACTAATCAAAAGAGGGGGCTTCCGCGAACGCTCAGCCAGTGTAATGAACTTCCTAAAGAGGTCGCCCCTAAAGTGGCACACAGTCACGGCTTCTTCTCCAATTAGGATACAGCGTGTTCTGAGAATCAGACACCGAGATCCGACCCAATTTAGTGAAAAAATTGTTTCCAAAAATAGTCGAATTAGATTAATCCGCCGCGAATGGAATCCGAGAATTTTAGCACTACACTGCAGTAGTGTTTAAGGGCGTTCAAACAATAAATAACGTCAAATTTTTATATAAATATTATTTATTGTACTAAAATATACAGGTATAATAAAAAAATAGTAACAATATAAGCAAATGTGAACTTATCTCTAAAGGAGATCCCTTCCAGTCAACCCAATACTGGGCATAGGAATTGGTGAGTGGGCAACAATAGTAGGAAGTGGTGAGTGCAAAACAGAAATCTTTGTTTAGATTTCTGTTTCCACTGGAAGGGAAGGTATACCATGCGTGTAATGCCTCTGGTATTGCAGCATTCATAGGCTATGGTAACCGCTTATAATCAGGTGGGCCGTATGCATATTTACCACCTTAGTGATATATATTTTTTTATACAACTTAGAATGGCAAACAAGCTGACGGCCCACCTGATGGAAAGTGGTAACCGTCGCCTATAGACATGAGTAGACACAACAGAGTATACTGTTTCGCCCATGATACATCCCATGCGTTGCCATTCCTGAGGACTCAGGTGTTATTCCTCTGTACCCTGTAAATTCACGCCATATCCCACCCTTCAAACCGAAACACAGCCATGTGTACAGTGTAAAAAATTTAAGTGTTGTATTATAAATCAAAATGTATTGCTTCAGGTAAACAAAACTACGCACCAGCTCCGAGCCCCATGCCCCCACTGGATGGGTCCTACTACAATATGGCATCAGACAGATACCTATCGTACCCACCTCTCATATCTGAATATTTGCACCAACAAGTAAGTATTTAAAATATATTTAAATTTAAGAATTTTTTTTCAAAATGGTTACTATATATAAAGCTATTTAATTATTAAATAAGTGTTTTGTATTACATATTAAAAGCGAATCTAATTCGAATAATTTAGTATTGAATTAAAAAATCTTCAGTTATGACTATTTTAACCTTAATTATATATGAGATAAAATTAGAAAGCAATAAAAGAAATTAAAAATATTCACAATAATTAAAAATGAAGTAAAAAATAATTAAGATGATTAATTATTGAAGGATCTTAAAAGTAAAAACAAAATAAAATATTTGTATTTTTTAATTATGTGCCTTTTAAAGGGCTTAATGCCGATAATTGAAAAATAAATAAAACCATTCCATAGCGCAGAAATCTATCTCATTTTTTATTAACTATAATATTTCTAGAATTCTTTTTATTTTATTTTTATTTACACTTTAGAGATTATTAATAAAAAAATATTAAAAAAATATTTAGTTGCTTTTGCACTAATTTTCTCAAATATTTCTATTTATAACCCCCATCGAAACCAGGCACCCATTCCAGGGTCACTGTATTGTGTGTGACATTTGTCAACATCATTGATATTTTTGACAATTTGAAAATTTTTTAGAAAGAAAGAATAAAAGAAAGACGAAGAAAGAAAGAATGAAATAAAGAAATGTTTTTATTCAAGTACACTTAGATTTAAGCATTTTTTAATAGTTTTTTTATTACCATTTATTGCTGTCAATATTTAAAGTACATTCACAATGTATCAACTAACAAATTAATTTAATATAGCAGACGGGTCGCACTCCCACCCCACCCCAACAGTATGGGCCCCAGCCGGTGCCTAAACCCCATCTCATGAATGGGGGGGTCCCGGGCGGGTCACCTTCACACGTCGCCAGTCCCCCTCTCTCGTACGGGCTTGATGGTGAGTTAAAATGGTTTTATTTCACTTTGAAATAGACATCCGTCCATCATACTCGTGAACGGGTACCGAAATTTCGTTTAAAAATGCTATTAAATGTTTCTTAACATCTAGGCTTGTCCAAATTCCAATTACTTTTTCTCTAAAAACTAAAATGATGTATAAAAAAATTGCTAAATGAAAATACGCTTGATATACTCACTGACAAACAATATTTACTTCTTTAATACATATGAAAATTTGTTGGATTTATTTGAAAAAGATATTTAATTGTTTTTAATCATGCTTAAACTTTTGAAACTTTCCATACAAATGGTGTGTTTCGGTTTGAAGGGTGGGATATGGCGTGAATTTACTGGGTACAGAGGAATAACACCTGAGTCCTCAGGAATGGCATCGCAAGGGGGGGTATCATGGGCGAAACAGTATACTCTGTTATGTCCATGGTACTGCTCATGTCTATAGGCGACGGTTACCACTTTCCATCAGGTGGGACGTCAGCTTGTTTGCCATTCTAAGTTGTATAAAAAAAAATGCATCATAATTTTGGATTAATAGAAATGCATAGATCTTAATTCCGACAGGCAACCACGCTAATTAATACTGGTATTTCTGTGAATTTTTATTTTTATATCTAATTAATTATTATTTTAAATTTTCCTTAGCTCTAGACAGACAGTCATCCGGCGGCACACTGAGGAGGCAAAGACTTGATAAGATGGCCGTTCCACCGCCAGACGTGACGGTACTTCATCAGGGTAATTGCGCGCAGGTAAGATGGAACATTTGATCGGAAGGGAGAGTTATAGCAGTGAAATTACAGAGTGTCATCAACTATTAACTGTCCACTGCTGAACATAAGCCTCCTCCTACTGAGGGGTTTGCCACTAGTTGCCACGCTTGGCAGGCATGTTGGTAACTGTAGTTAGATTTTAGTGCTATTTGAAGAGTTCAGCAATTGACAGCTAACGGCTAATGATAATGATGTGAATAATAAAAAAGAAATTTTGAAAATTCATCCACTAATTTGGTAAAATTTCCAAAATCCAGACGAAGTTGCAAGCAAAAGTTAGTCATCGATATTTTAAATTCACTATCGGGACTTAAAGCGTCGCCATTACAATTAAATAGTACTTACATACGTAATTTTTATTGCCGACAAGGTAAAGTCTCAGTTTGGAATTTAATTTTTTTTTTATACAACTTAGAATGGCAAACAAGCTGACGGCCCACCTGATGGAAAGTGGTAACCGTCGCCTATAGACATGAGCAGTACCGTGGACACAACAGAGTATACTGTTTCGCCATGATACCCCCCATACGTTGCCATTCCTGAGGACTCAGGTGTTATTCCTCTGTACCCAGTAAATTCACGCCATATCCCACCCTTCAAACCGAAACACAGCCATGCAAACACAACTGCTTCACGGTTGTAACACGAATGGGACAGAGGTACCCAAACAATCGACTTTTGTACAAAGTCTCTCTCTGGTACAACGCATAAGTTTAACATTAACTAATCATCAATACTCTAACTTTTGGTACAATCGAATAAACATCAAATATGTAGTTTAATGAGGACGACGAATGCTTATTTGATTTAACCAAAAGAGAGCTTGTTGATCAGAGACAGAACTCGTGAATCTATAAACGACACTTTTATTGTAACTAATAATTCTGTTCCAGCACCCCCAACTGCCGCAAACACCAGCACCGGTGAAGCAGCCACAATCAATACTGAAAGACCCATCGCGCCACAAATACGGCAACCAATACGGAAGCCCGATATCCTCGAGCACCCCCCAAAACAGCAATTCGAGTCAAATTCTCACAGTCCAGAATTTGACGTCCGACGTGCCACAGTACGGCACGATTAGGAAAGAAAAGAAACAGAACGTGACGATTGACGAGTCGTACAACAAAAGAAGTGAAACGCACGTTGTTTAAACAACAAAACATGTGCATATGTACATATTTGAACTAGTTAAAATTGTAGATAGATTTAAAATTCATTGAATGTGATAAACTGAAGTGCAAGTGTGAACGATTAGATAGCAAATAGTGTAAAAGAATTTAATAAAGACGGTACTAAGAGAGGAGACGTAACAGCAACGGTGTTAAAGTGTTGAGGTTTTATTTTCGTGCAAGAAAAACTTTGTTCTTGCGAACTCGTGTGTGAGTCGCCTTAAATGTTGAGTGCGTCGGATGTTGAGCCCAATAGTCAAATAAATTATTCGGGTTGTGTGTATGTTGGTGCAATGATGCAATGATGGTTCGACTGACTTATCATTAAAATAGGCCAAGTTAACGTCCAAATGCCGACATTATATGAATGTTTACGACATTTTTCATTGTCCAGTTGTGAGGAGAAATCATTTTAGGAGTTAGGGCTATATTGTACGTGAACGTGTCGAAGTATTGATCGGTAAGTCTTTGATAAATAGCACATTATATAGTATTATAAACATTAATACATATAATGTCAATATAGCCCCCATTATTATTATTAGATGATAATTAAATTTTTTTATTATAATTAATTTTCCTCTAAAATACGATTCCGACGAAGGATCTCTTTCTAATTAAGTTTTTAATATTCGAATTTATATTCGAAATACGAATGTTGAATTGTAATACAATTTATTGGGAAATTTTGAATTTGCCCCGTCGGCTATAGCCGCTGTTTGTTTTCAATTGATGTTCTTTGTAAACGTTGGGAATGCATCTAATTGTTATATCATAATAATTGTAATAAATATAATTTTTAATATAATGCAAGGCGAAGTTTTCGTCCAATTTGTTTAATTTTTAAATTGATATTTTCTAAAAAAAAAAAACTGTTTCAAATTATTTAATGCTGATATTTCAAAATTATATTTTTATCATAAATTCGATTTTGTCAATTTTAATTCACAGGCTTTTAGACTATTTAGTTCTTTATTCTCATAAATTATATTGAACCTATCATATTATTATACCGTTGAAAACTTTAAATTTGATTTGTTTTCAAAAACTATAAGATTTATTACTAAGATTTTGTAATAAATTGAAAGAAAACTTTGCCTTGCTAAATTGATTGATGACTATGAAAATTAAATATATAAATTTTAAATTCTAATTTCAGTGGATTTAATTCTCTTGAAATCCGATCTGAGATCAATACGAAAGTGAAGTAATATATTTTTTATGTACCATTTTCTTTTTTAATCGATAATTACCCGAAAAGAACTGATAATTATGTTTTGTGGCGAATATACAGTAAACTATCACATTTATAAGCGATTTTGTAAAATTTTTGGGTATTTCAATTTTTTCGCAACATCTTGGCATAATGTAAATAAAAAATAATACTCGGATAGCGAATTGACAATAAATTATAAGTTTTTTTTTTTTTTATTATTTTTATTATTATATAATTTATACATAGTCCCGCTTCAATTACTGTATATAAATCATTAATTGTGTAATTTTTTTTTCTATAATATCATTATAGCTTTTCTACTCAAAAAATAATCGGTTTTAATACAGATACCAAAGTTTTAATAATTTTATTTTTAAGTTAGTAAGCTTACTTACTTTTATTTTTATGATTTTTACTTAGTATTTGTAACATGTTCTGTTGGAAATCCTATGTTTTTGACTGATTTTTTAAACCATTATTTTGATTATACACAAACAAAATATTAATTAATTCAATAAATTAATAAAAAAAAAAATTCTCGGAAATCCATCCATGACGAAATACGATTTTATATTTACAGAAATGTTTTATTGTTACATTTCGAATTTAAATAAAAAATCTAATAATTAAACATTTTCGTTTTATTTTTGTCGCCTCTTTTAATTTAACATAAAAATAAACAACAATTATTAAAAACATATCAATCAATAATTAATAAATTGGTTTTGCTTGAAAAAAAAACTATTCAGCCGCCGACCATTTTTTTTTTACTTATTTATGAACATAAAGTGCCAAATATAGGTGATTTTTCTCGCAAAAAAAAAATTATTAGATAGTAAAGACACTTTAGCTGTGTTATACGTCCTTCTACATAAAATAGTTATATTATAAAACCGTGCCTTATACTTTTATGCCATTATGAGATAAAATATCACTTAAATTATTGCCAAATCTAGATTAAAATTAATAACGAACTTTGTTTAGGGGTTAAGAGTTTTTTTTTTTTTCGATTATCCCAATTTGTTTGCTAAATATACACAATTGAGGCACCACATTGTAAAATAAATGTTAACGAAATATAAATAAGACTGATTTTATAATATATAACTATTAGTTTTGTTATATTAAATGTTGCAAATAGAATATTTTTTCCTTTATAACAAAACATTGTACTCGTACTGTAGTTGTAAATATTTCCCTAATAATGAATTTTTTAATTGTTTAAAAAGATTACATACCTCTGATTAATCATCTCATGTATTTAGTTTATATATATATATATATATATATATATATATATATATATATATATATATATATATATATATATATATATATATATATATATATATATATATATATATATATATATATATATATATATATATATTATATATATATATATATATATATATATATATATATATATATATATATATATATATATATATATATATATATTCATTAAAAAAATATTTGTCACGCCTCCAATTGTCTAAATTCCAGCAAAATTTTATTAATTATTAAAATTAAATACGTTGCATATATAAATAGTATTGCCTAATAAGTACTTTTTTTTTTAATTTTCAATTTTTAATAAAAAATAATAACACGAGCTTGTCATTTAGTGGTAAGTGCTAATCGAATGTTCAAAACATATTGTCAATATGATTAAGATAATTAAAATTCATTAATTAAACAAGTCAATGTTAAAACATTTTAAAATAATTTAAAACTTTCAAATGGGTGTGGTTTTTATTCTAAATTAATACATACAAATATAAATATATGTAAATTGAATGGTTAATTTGTGTTTATATTTTAAACAACTTTTGTTTAAACAAAAGGAACCACATCGTAAAAAGTTATTGTGACATATTCAGTTTATGTCTATATTGTTAATATATCATCAATGATTTGATTACGTCATCGTGTTTTTATTAAAAAAAATCTCATTTAGACACTAATTTTAATGTGCTACACACATTTAAACTAACTGACGTAATCAAATACAACTAAAATAAAATAATTCATCTTCACGCTCATTGTAAAATATGCCCACTTAATAAAAGAATAAGGTTGTAAGTTCGATAATTCCGAATGTGACTTTGATATTACGTACATAAAGCTCATAATTGTGTAATCAGCATAAATTGAATTAAAGCATATATGTTAAATAATTTAGTTTCCTTTAGTAACCCCCCTGGCTACTGCCCTGTACTTTCGACGTTTGAATTAAAATTCCAAATGCGCGCCTGTTAAGGAAAATGTCCTGTCTTTTGTACAACAAGTAAAATACACAGGCCCTTAACTTTAGGGACTTTATGTCCCTTCAGGATGATTTTGGGGTCTCAAATCGAACATGGAGTTTTCGCCAAATGACTTTGAATACTCTGACTTTAAAAGAACCTTACTAATTAATCTTAATAATTTTGGCTTGTTTGCCATTCTAAATTACATAAAAAAAATTAATTATGGCGTCTGTACATAAGAGATATTTAAGAAAATTTGACAAAAGGATATTAGGGTTGTTTATAAGAGCAATAGAAGCCAAAACCAATATTTTTTTGAGTTTTTTGTCTGTCTGTATATTTCAAACTTAAACTACTGTACCATATTCGTGTACCACAGTAGTGTTTTTAAAAATCTAACTTAATATAAACTAATAAGTCTAAAGTCTCTATTAATTTTTCGATTAAAATTAAAATTTAATTAAATTTACAATAATTTACTTAGTAATATATTAACAAAAAATTGGTAGAAAGTTAGTAACTATCCAACTATTAGGTACACTGCTAGACAACACTGCAACAAAGTCTTTCTTTCCACGATATATCTGTCAAACTGTAGTTTCATATTATTTTTCCTACTATCGCAACGCTCTATACATGGTCACCCATCCAAAAACTGACCGCACTCAACGTTGCTTAACCTCGTTATTCGACAAATCAAAAATAACAGCAAACAATCAATTATCCCAATCCATATAAAATTTGTTTATACATAACATTATTTAGACATTGACAAGTTTAAGCCCACACGAAGGTTTTTAAACCCTATTTCTAATCCTGTCAACGCATAAAATCCATGTAAATGAATGAATTGCCGTTGAACGGTTCAATTTTGCCGTCATACAACCGTATGCACGAGTTATGGATTCCATCTAAATCTAAACCTAAATACAGGTCTCGCGTCAAACGCAGACGTTCGCATATTAGGCGCTGGTGCAAGTCAAAGGATTAGCGGTCTCATATATAAGTCAATGTTTGCAAATCGCTGACTCTTCTGACTTGTATATAAGAATTGCATATAACGGATTGTGTTCTGAACTCTTCAATATGATGCTTACAGCCTTTCTCCATCGTACCGCTTGCCATCGGTAGGAAATCCCTCCTTACATCTTAGAACCAGAATGGTCACGCAGAGTGCGATTTCAAAGGAATTTCCTCCCGCGAACAATCAGGCCGAAGCTCTCCCTAGAGACTACTGTTAATACTAGGGTTTTCCAAAAATAGCGTATTGAAGTTACATAAGTGTCGGTAACGCGCGCGTGACACCCGTGATGTAACAAGCGTCCATAGGCTACGGTAACTTCGGTTATCATCAGACAGTCATCAGAGTATGCTTGTTTACCATCATAGTAGTAAAATAAACAAATCACCCGTTCACTATCCACTGCTAAACAAGGACTTCCCCCATAGTCAATATTTGCTACGCTTGACAGTCGGGTTGATAACCACAGACTATGGCAATGTTATCAAAAGGTCGTTGCTGCTCATCCCTTGACTAATAATTCTTAGTTGCCACTTATGACATCCATAGAAAAAAACGGGAAGGCCCATTCTGTGCCGAGACCGAGAAACAAATACTTATATTGCTACTAGCTTTCGCCGGCTACTTCGTATTCGTGGACTTTAAAATGAGGAAAACTAATGAAATGACCAATTTTGGATGATGTATCAATATAAAACATACACCAGATTTTAACTAACTTAAAACCTTTAGTTTTTGTGTGAAGCCGAAACAAAAATACAGATAGACAAACAAAATTATAAATGAGAAAGTTTGTAAGGACGGATAGACGAATAGATGTTTGTTTCTTTTAAATCTTTCTCGAAAAAAATATTGAATGAATTTAAATGAAATTTGGTACATGGGTAAGCTATATCCTAATTTAGCATTTAGGATATTTTATTTTTACGTACTTCTGTTCCACTTAGACGAAGTCGTGGGTAAAAGTTAGTAAGTATATAAATCAAATTTAGCTTTTTCATTCTTTCTTTCTTTCTATCTTCATATTTTGACATTACGAAATTCACCTCTTTATAAATTTATTAATTACCAAATTTTTTTCAATTTTTAATAGATTATACATATACAAGTATAAATGAGTATAATAATTTCATATTTTTATTAATTTAACGTGAATTTACTGGGTACAGAGGAATAACACCTGAGTCCTCAGGAGTGGCAACGCGTGGGGGGTATCATGGGCGAAACAGTATACTCTGTTATGTCCATGGTACTGCTCATGTCTATAGGCGACGGTTACCACTTTCCATCAGGTGGTATAAAAAAAAAGTCATTTCAAATAAGAAAACTATCTCTCGTCTCTTATTACTTGTACCACACGGCAACGTATGTATTCGAGCATATTGATATGTTAATGGCCGAGGTTGGGAGAGCATGCGATGTTTTAATAGATCCATTATAGGTATATACCTAACTTACTTTCACTTGTTTATTACATTATCCTATCTATATATACTTTTGATCCATGTCCTAATTGATTCGATAATATCCTCAGTTTTTTTTTTAAATGGATGATAATGGAATGGTAACCCCACCCGCGCTATCGGTATACACCGGCGGGACACCAGTGAAGGATGATAGGTGAGAATGAAGCAGGTCAGTTAGCGCATCGTGACGAATTCAACAAGAATTGTTCACGATGGTTTCCAGGGGGAACCGTGTGGAGGTCGACCTGAGAGGGTATATTGCTAGCAATGGGGCTATTAGACCTCATCACTAACAATCCCTTTTCCCCCAATATGGGGGAGGGTTTGTTAGTAGTGGGGACAGTAGTCCCCACTACTAACAAACCCGTATTGTGATTGATCTTAATCCAGTATTATATATTATTAACATAAATGTGAGCACCATTATATTCTCTCATTGTTATCAAAATATTAGGTCGACCTCCACGCGGTTCCATCTTGGAAAATATCGCGGTTGATTCCTGTTAAATTCGTGATGATAGCCCAACTAACCTGCTTTCATCTTCACCGATTTGTTGGATTCTTTTTTTATCTAAAACGATACACTTTCAGATAAGTTTTATAGGCAGTTTATTAAAGTCGATGTAATAGTTTAGTTTTTCAAAAAATATAATTGGTTTTATCACAATTGAAGTCAACTTTTTTTATAGGATAAAATCTATATATTTTAGTTACAATATCCTGAGGGAGACTTTGTACAAAAGTCGATTGCTTGGGTACCTCTGTCCCATTCGTGTTTCTACCGTGAAGCAGTTGTGTTTGCATGGCTGTGTTTCGGTTTAAAGATTGGGATATGGCAGTGAATTTACACGGTACAGAGGAATAACACCTGAGCCCTCAGGAATGGCAACGCATGGGTGGGGTACTATGGGGGGATACGGGGGGTATCATGGGCGAAACAGTATACTCTGTCATGTGCATGGTACTGCTCATGTCTATAGGCGACGGTTACCACTTTCCATCAGGTGGGCCGTCAGCTTGTTTGGCATTCTAAGTTGCATAAAAATAACCATATTATTCATACCTAGTTGTTAATATACATGTGGTGGGGGGAAAGGGATTGTTAGCAATGGCTTTTGATAGCCCTATTGCTAGCAATATGCTCAATTAGGTCGACCTCCACGTGGTTCCCCCTGGAAACTATCGTGAACAATTCTTGTTGAATTCATCACGATGGGCTAACTGACATGCTTCATCCTCATCTATCATTCTTCACTGGTGCCCCGCCGGTGTATACCGATAACGCGGGTGGGGTTACCGTTCCATTATCACCCATAAAAAATATATATATATACATGTGGTATAACTCAAATATAGTGTGCATCTATCTGTCTATCAAATCTACTAAATAATTTCATTCCACATCCACGAGCTACTTTTAGACGTAGTATATCTATGTAGATTTATACATACAGTCTAAAAGCGTATCCCTGTAC